CTTTTATAACAACTCTTTAAGGGCTGTGACATAGGCTAGGTCCAAAAAGCTACTAAGTATATCTACTTACATTAAGGAGAAAGCAAATGAATATTTAGGTACAGAGACATTTATTAAATCATACCCTCCTACTAATTATTAAGTTTAGACAAATTTTTTATATGCTGTTAATTTAGAGATAGTCTTGTAAAAAAAAAAAATCCCTCAAACCTTTCATACTACTTTTTGCTTTCAGAATAGAGGGGAAACTACAGAGCTGGAGAGGCAGCTAGCAGGGAATAGAGCATCTCTGTATAGAGGGAAGATACAGAGCATTACTATCTCAGGTCGACATGTTACTTACTTCATGTTATTGAGACCAAAACAAATCATTGGGACCCATAATGTTACGATATAAAGAAAACTGGAACTATCACATTTCAAAGTAAAGATTAATGGACTAAAGAACAAAATAACGTACAGTGTTTTAGAGATGCAATGTCTTGCTAACACAATCCAGTAAGGTAATTAAGAGAGAAGTGTCTGCACTTGCTGCGGCGATCGGTGTAGGATGCTCTCTGGATCTTTGTATTCATTGGCTGGATCCGTCACAGCTGCATACACTTCACCGTAGGCTCTGCAGACTAATTCTGTGGACTGCCTTACGATCTGCTCTCTATGATAACGAAGCAAAATGTGAACACATTATCTGAGAAAAATGTATTTACTAAGAATTGTAAGAACGCTTCATATTTGAATCAATATATTTCCTTTTCATTATTGTACACACTATTTAAAAATCACTCCAACTACACGTTACTTATCTTGATTTGGGGATAAAACACACTTTTTATATTTATTATGTATTAAATTCCTCTTCATTACTGTGTAGGTTCCAGAGGGCAGGGACTGTGTTTTGTTCACTGTTGTATCCTCAAGGTTAGAACAGTGCCTGATAGATACAGGATTGCTAAACAGGAAGCAGAAACTGTGACCGTGTGACAACGTATCGATTTTGCAAAAGCAAATGATAATACATTAACCTTAAAGAAAGAGGCTTATAATTATTCAAATTTACAAACACTTTTATCTCTCAGAAAAACTTACAGTAAGCGGCTTTCATGTATAGCTCCTACACTAACAGTTACATCTACGTTTCTCTTTATCTCTCTGTAACATTAAGCTAAAGTGTGATACCTGCTTACAACAAATCACAGAATTCTCAGAAATGTATATTTCTACAAAAATGCACATATAAGAATAATAGACATAGTCTTGCAAATGTTTTTAAAATTATCCAGCTAGAGAAAGACAGTATTAAGTTCATTAAATCTGCACCAACTCTCTCCATGTTTTCGTGATATTAACTTTCTGTCATCCCCAGCTACTTACTATGCATATATCACTATACTTAGTCATGAGAACTCTGGTACTAATTTTCTGATTTTTACCAAACTAAACTAAAAATGTATCTTTCAAGCTTTATTCCTAAACCTACTTTTCTTGTAATGTTTCCTACTTTTGTTAATAGCGTAGTCCCATCACCTCAGTTCAGGTTCTAATGAACTCTTGCCTGGAGTACACAAAACCTCCTACCTGGTCTTCCCCCTTTCAGTCCCTTCCACATTCGGTCCCTCCGAGGCACTGCTGTTAGAGTGATCTTTCGGAAGCATATTTTCTATAATGTGTCTCCCTTACCTGCGGCCTTCAAGGAGCTTCAGTGGCTTCCTTTGGTTTCAGGGAAGCCAATATTTCTTCCCCTACTATTCAAAATCCTCTAACACTTTCTATATCATTACTTTAATTCTGCAGCCCAGTGCAACTCCTGACTTCTCTCTGCCCTGGTCTTGCTGACCTCAGTTCCTTTGCTCACACTTCTCCATTTGCCTAGAATGCCTCTCTCGCCACTTTTAAACGTCATGATGTTCAGCAAAAATGCTCTCTCTTATCCATGAAGTTTTCCCTGACCTTCAGAGCTAGAAATAATTACTTCCTTTTTGGAACATCTACAGCACTTTTTCTTTTCTTCTCTTCTGACGTTTACCACTCCTGACAATAAAGCATTTACATTTTCTTGATTCTCAGATCCTAACAGATTGGGGGAGACGATAGTTCCACATGAAACGTATGTAACAACTGTAATACAACCCAATTTCAAAATGAACTATAAAATTGTTTAGAATTACAGAAATATATGATCTTCATTGTCTTAGTTGCCCTGCCAAACTTCAAGTAACTTGAGATTATTTATGTTCATATGTCCTGTCCCTTAAAACTCAATATATTTTGAGTATGATGGGGTCTCAATAAATAATCACTGAATGCTTGAAGAAAAATAACTGTTTTCTTATTTAAGGAGTCCCGTTCTGGCCTCATGAACCACCATTCTTTTCCATAGCATGGAGCCAGTGGTTATTTCAGGCCAAGCTTTTTCTTCACATAGACAAGAATACACATATGTGACTGGCCACAAATAGTAATGGTGGTAACAGTAATACTGTATTAGTTGTTACACAAATCAACACCATGAAGTCACCATCATTACTACATATTCTTTAAGCTGTTTTTCTAGGAAGTATATTATTTTTTGATATTAATAATGGCCAAAATAATACATTTGTAAGACCATCTGTGGAAATATCTATATCTATGGTTTAGAAAAGAACAAAAATAGCTGGATGGAATGAGAAGTTCACTTATGATGTTACAGCATCAGTACCCTGTCCCGATGAGGTACAAACTCTCGGCAAGTTGAAGCAACTTGACATTGTCCCCAAATTGCTAAAGCTTCCTTAGTGAGAGTGGGCAGAAGGAAGACATGCTGAGTAAATTCTCTGAGCAGAGTGGAGTGATGCTACTGGCTGTACTACCTTTCTGATGGTAGAACCTGGTTTAGAAAACTACTTAACTAAATGAGGCTCTAAGGTTGTTTTTGATCTATTGATTGGTGATCTTTTCTTGTAATTAATTAAGCTTAACAGTGAATGCACCAAAATGATGCAAACATTATTTTTTCATAAATGAAATAAGCTATATAAACCGGTATTTTAAAACTTTGTTAGCTATCATATACATTTGGTGTCCATTTTTCAATAAGTCAGACACTGGATTTTAGAAATAGTGTTTTTAGTTCTTTACGCAAAGCAATAAGACAGATTTAGGAGTGGTGTATAAAGCACGCATTGCTGACACCTAATACTCTAAAATCTACACTCGAGCTGAACCCAGCATATATTTGATAGTATACAAGGAGTACACGAAAATAAGGCTATTCTTTCTTATAAGGAGTTTAAAATCATAATAAGGTACAATAATAAATGTTAAATATAATTTTTAAAAATTGAGAGTAACTGGTAAATGTAGAATAAATTATTAAAACTTCTGAAGTAATAAAT